TTGGACCATTTCATACTTGCTAGTAATGAAATGATCCAAGCCTCCAAGGTCACCTTCTTTCCTTGGTCTTTCATGAAAGGGATGATGTTTATGTCTTGTTTTGCATTTATTGAGCTTGCACCTCTTGAGTTACAAACCATCCTGCAATAAAATTGCTTGAATTGGTGGTTTGTGGCTTAAGTTCACAACTCCTTGGATTTGTTCATGAAAAGGAGGGGTGAGTTGTGCAAACAATCCTTAAAAATACCTTGTGTGTGCTCTGTTTGTCCTCTATTGTAGCAAGATGAACCAGAGCATCAGTGGCAGGCAGGTGGCCGGCAGACCACCATCCATGCCCGGCAGGTGGCCGGTAATCTTCACCAGTGGCCGGCTGGCCACTGATGCAAATCTCAGGAGAGTGCTGTTAAGGTGGAACAAAGTTGTTCTAAAAGTGTTCAATTGTGCAAACAGAGGCTTTCGAGAGCAAAACAGAGGTCTTTTTAGGTGGAAACTGAGCATACGCTTGCACATCCTTCATTTCCCGAGGCAAAGTAACCAATTGGCTTAGCTTAGTTACATAGTTTAATTATTAGTTGCAATCATCTTGTAATTATTTAATTAGTTAGTTAGCTAATTAGTTCATTTGTTATTGTAATAATTAGTTAAATTAGTTTGGCTAGTTATTCATTTTGGTTTGTAATAATTAGCTTAGCTTAGCTTAATTAGTTTAAATAGCTTAGCTTAGTTATTCATTCGGACTCTCCTTCGTGAGAGCACGATGTAATAATGTGTATGTCTTCCAATCTCACGTCTTTCTCCCTTTTATTTATCCGCTTTTGATGGTTAGATTGGGGCATGTTTCAATTAGCATATCTTATGCTTGTATCCATTCATCTTATATTACATGCACCAAGGCTTGGCGCATCATTCTAACTGCATTGTCATTTCAATACTTTGATGACTACATGTTTAAAACGCATGCTATCAAATTGTTGCAAATACCATGTTAAGTAGCCGAGCCTATCTTAGTTGCATTATTGCATGCGTTGTATTAGACATTTGGCATAGTTAGGAATCATGTTTTTTTTTTTTCTAACTCTTTTGTTTTGTCTTAGCTTGGAGTACTAGGTGAGTTTTTAGTGCTTTAGCATACTTGTATGAGTGTGAGTGATTACCATGACTAGCATGCTTGCCATGAGGCTAAACGCGTACTTGTTAAACTGCTTGAATGCTTATAAATGAAGGCTTGTTGCTTGAATTGGAATGATTCAACGAATGTACGTTTTAAGCCCACTTTGTAGTGGCAAATTCACAAACTTTAAGCCCACTTGAGTGGCAAATTCAAACCCTTTGTAAAACAAACATGAATTAAATTGTTCCAATTCGGGCAAACTAGTCTATACTTGCTTGTGCGCATCACATAGAAAAGTAGCTTAATAATTGGAACAAGAGCATATAATGTTGATAAAAATTGTATCATGATTAGTAGAGGCCAATCTTTGATCGGGCGAGCGGGGGTGCTCAATTCATGACCTTCCCTTTCGTACCTAAGTTCACGAGCCGAGGCAACTTTGGTGATGACGGACACGTGGCCTTTGGCACGAGTCATAGGTTTCCTAAATTTCTCCAAAATAAAATATTTAGGTGGTGACTCTATATCTGGCAAAGCAGTCTAATTTTGGCATTTTTGATTCTAAAATCGATTTTCCAAAAAGATTTGCTGGATTTAGACTCTTTGGTTTTTATCAATTTCACATTGCACTTGTGAGATTAGATTCAGAACCGTGGGAGTTCGAACTGTAGGGGTTCTTTCAAACTTCCGAAAGGGGGCGCGAAAATGTTGAGCTACACAAGGGTATGGGGAAAATGAATAGGCATGGTTGGTAGACCATGAGCTGTCTGTTGGTCAATATTCTTCTTCTTCTTCTTCTTCTTCTTCTTCTTCTTTTGTTTTTTTTTTTTTTTTTTTTTTAAGGAAGAAAGGGTGAAAAACGAAACAAAAATTTCTTAAATAGATGAATAAGATAATAATGGAGAGAAGATAAAAGAGATTAAAATAAATATAAAAGAATAAATTAGGTTCTCATCTAAAAATTTCACCATCAAACTACTATAATAAATTGCCAACACCTCTCATTAAGATATTTAACACCTCAAAAATATGGGATTTTACAGACAATTTATTAGGTCACTATTTCATTTTTTCCTTAATAATAATAATAAAAAAAAACTAATGGTCCACATCCTTTGAACACCATGAACAATACCAACGATCAATTACAAAACATGAACAATAAATTAACCAACTATTTCAATGTTTTCTGGAAAAAAGTACAAAATGAGTGATTTACATCCTTTGAACATTATCAACAATACCATAAGAACAACAATCACAAAAAGAGGGAAAATAATAACAATAATATGAACAACACATGTGAAAGTTCACATTGAACTAAATAATTGTTCGATGATTACACAAACAAAAGACAGAGAAATATGGGCACTTACATTTGGCCTGCATCACATTGATTGATTCAAACTTTCGCAGAGTTGATTCTTCACGTTAGAGTAGGGTTTCAATTAACAGAAACGTATGAACGACGATTGGCTGGTAAGATGTTGGTGGGATCGATTTGATGTGAACTTTCACAATAGTGAATCATCAATTCGGTCTATGCTTCCAACGCCGACAATGGCGAGATGACGGTGGGATGACGGTAGGATGGTGGACGGCGCGATAAGAAACCTAGGGTTTGGGAGAGATAATTGCAACGGGTTGGGGCTTTTGGGAATGAGAGATTTTTTGCGTGAATTATGAAATGAAGAAAGATGAGTGTTTTGATCGGTTGTTGATTTCAGGAATGGAAATATGCATGGGAGGGCTTGAGGGTTATTTGGTCTTATTACACTAAATAGGATGTAATATAGTACTCAAAAAGAATACAAATTAGATGGAATATAAGTCTGATTTACTAAAAATGCTCCCTTCAAAGTTTGATTGCTAGTTAAAGCTCCTAAATTTCAAATTCTAGAAGGATAAGGAAAAGTCTTGAGATAAATGGTTAAAAATGACCTTACAACTTATAACCCTAATTCTCTTACGATATATATATTTTCTAGATTTCTCTCTCTCTCTCTCTCGCTTTGGTTCGCTTTGTCTGTATTCTCTCTACAATAGACGATCATTTCAACCATCATTGTTTGCTATCGCCGCCGTTATCGCCTTCAACTACATCCATCTCCACCATCGTTACTAACTTAAACCATATCCATCTCTTGTGTCGTTGTCTCATTAATTGTGTTGCCGTTCGTAACCACCATTAAGATCTAAACCTTTGTTCATCGTTTGCACCTCCATCACCTCATTGTTGTCAACTCCACTTGTCGATTCTCTCTCTCTCCTTTTCTTTCTTTTTCTCTCTCTCTCTCTTGATGTCTCTATTATTTCTATGATTCATTTATCTTTTATTCCTTTCTTTATTCGATATTATTCTTATATTTCTATTATTGACATTGTTTGTTGTACTGATGTAAAAATATTTAGATTTTATTTAAGTTCGAATGAAAAAACTTTCAAACTTTCTGCAATTTCAGTAGATTTGGTCAGTGAATTTTCTCTGACTTTTTGTAATTCAGTAAGATTTGATCATAGAAATTTTACTGACTAAATTTATTAAAATTGAAGAAAGTTAAAAAGATTTCACTATCATAACAATTTTTTTCTATAACAATTACAATATCTAGTGACTCTTTAGAGAAGTGAAATTTGATTGTACTAATCAATGAAATTTCACATCGTCAATGTTTATCAGAAAATGAACCAAAAATGTTAATGGATTTGTCTCAAATGTTAAGAAAAATAATAAAATAATGAGTAAATTACAAATACACTTCTTGAGATTTATTTAAAATACAGATTTTTCATATGGTTTGAAGAATTACAAGTACTCCTTTATCAGAATTTTTTATTTAGCATAATTAACTGAAAATATAAAATCCCTAACAGTTCTTCTATACAATAATAAAATTTTCTGAATTATTAAATTAAAATAAATTTGTGACATCATTAAAAATTGTTAATTAACTTGATGATTTATTAATAAAATAGGACATTTGTTATTAAATTAGAAACTTCAGGGGTGACATGTAATTTTCAAAATTACTCAAAATTACAGGGGCAATTTATAATTTAAATATTTTTCAGGGAATGTATTTATAATTTAGTCTAAAATAATTTTATACACATAAAATAATTATCTTATGCACAATAATTTATGTGTATAACATTTTACCCCAAAAAATAATTAATGGGTTGAGTTTATCTCATTTTGGGATTTTAACATGAGCGAACTTGAGGGATCCGTAGAACTCATCATAGGTCTCGTTTCGCTGATCTAAACCGTTCACCTTCTAACAATCATTGAGTACAATATTTATGCAAAAAAATAAAGATGATCGAATATCAATAGTTATATATTTGAATCAAATTCATATTACTAAAAAATATATGACTATTTTTGAAATTATATTTGTCTATTTTTTAAAACAAATATGATTTAAATATATAGTTTTCAATATCTAATAATTTTGATTTTTGAATAAATATTCTGCTCAATGAATCTAAAAGAAAAAATAAACGATCTGGATCATCAAAATTAATTTTAAAAAACACTTATCAAATACAAATACTCTTTTAAATTGAAATCATAACTTGAGAAGCAAAACTCATAATTATAAATCCTCCAAACAAGTCATATCCAAGAGGAGAGAAAAATAAAAATGAAATTTAGAGTTATGCTAGGTATTAAATCTTTTATATGGGTGTGAGATTCGTACACATGTAATTTATGTGAATTTCACGTGAAAAATTTGATAGAAAATTTAATAATCCATATGATATGTAAGAGATTTAATAAAAAGTTTAATAATTTATTTGAGCATTTTTCAAAATTTTATATAAAAGCCCAAATCGAAGGAAAGCTAGCGGCCATCAATCCAGTATTCGCCACCTGGTTATTAGTTTCGACCATTTTCGTACAATTGTCAATACACAGTCACAACCAGTCCACCGATTGATCCACTCACCATTAACAGCTGGAAATATTACAATCACAATCATGGTAATGGACTCCTTTTCTTCTACCAGGATCACTACTCCCAGGTTTCGCTGCTTCGACCCTGCGACTTCGACATCGTCCTCCTCGCCTTCCAATTCAAATTCAGTGGTTCGAAGGGCGTTATGGGAACTTCAAGCGCTGATCAGCGTAAGATTGTCACCGGAGACAATGGTTACGTTCTCGAAGATGTTCCTCACTTGTCCGACTACATCCCCGACCTCCCTGTATCTCTCTCTCTCTCTCTCTCTCTCTCTCTCTCTCTTAAATATATGCAATTTTAGTTGCAATGCACGCATTGTTGGTGGAATTGATTTCTCTGATCTCATCTCAAGTTGTGATTTCTTTTATCATTGAGTTGATTTTGTTGTAATCGTCTTATACCGACTAATCCTGTTCTGTTTAATATTTCTATGATATGTGTTCTATTATGCATGCATGAATATATGAATTTGATGCAATTGTGATTTTTTTTTTTTGGTTTACTTATGCGTCTGGACTGAGCTTGAATTATTAAATTGGTGCTAATTCTATTATTATAATCAAATTCATTTTTTTATTTTCACACTTTTGATTTTATATGAGTTTTTAATTTTTAATTTTTTATAATTAATTAATTTGGTACAATGTTAAGTTTTTGGCGGACAACATTGTTTGGAGGGTTATCTCACAAGTAATACTATAAACCCACCCTTGTTAACCCTTGTTAACCCAGAAATTAATTTCCGTCACACCCCCACATACACCCCACACTACACAAATTAATATCCATCTCACAAGCACCAACGTAGAAAATTCTAGGTGGGTAAGTCTGAATTACCCTTTATCTCACTCCTAGATTATTGGTGAATGTTTTTATTTTATTTTTGTTGATGTGACTTTTGACTGTACCAGGCTTCTTATGATTTAGGTATGGTATAGATCGCATTGGAAGCGGCAAAGAGAGAGGTAGTAGAGCTAATCCTACTTATGGAAAAATCAAGTGGCATGTACCTCTGGCCTAAGTCACCGATCAGTCGAGCGGGAGTGAAAGTGAGAGCACCCCCTGAGCATCTTTATATGTATACAAAAAATATTAAACATAGTTTATTTTGTTCATAAATAAATTGAACTTCATTAATTTTAAAGTATTTTGAATAACATAACACAGTATTTGCCAAAGTTAAGTGAATTTCACGTGTAGCTGACACAAGTAATTTCAAGTGACCATTTGGCTCGAATAACATAAAGTTCAAACATTTACATAATTATTGAATTTGCCCCCTAATTTAGGCGATTTGCAAACTAAGCTGAAATAATTTGTGAATTTACCCCAAATTTCAGGCAATTTTGCAAATTTAGAGCAGGAGTGTAGTGTATTTGAATGAATTAGGTGACTTAGTTTCTGCTAGTGTCACATATTATGAACACGTAGGCATTTAGATGTGCTCTACATCACTTGTTAAAATGCAAGGGACATGTACATTCTATAGAGTCGATCCTAGGTGAATGGGATTGAAAGTTCAAGCTCAGTAGCAGGAATCGTTGGAAGCTCACCATGAATCCGAGGAAGAATCGCACTTCTGATGAGAGAGAAACACGATTCCGATTTGTCTTTCGGTCTCCTCTTCTTCTTCTTCTTCTCTCTCTCTCTCTCTCTCTCTCCTCTTTTTAACAAATAACAAAATCATTTTATTTTATATTTTTAAGAAAATAAATAAAATAAATCATCTATTTAAAAAAATCTAATAAAATTATATAACTAGAATATTTTAACAAATATTTTGTTTTTTTTGAGGGGAGAGAAGTTCATATCTTCTAAAATCAATATTTATAATTTCCTCTACATCTATCATATATAATATAATTTATTTTATGCCTAAAATAATTTTTTTCCATCTCTTTTTTTATTTTTTTTTAACAGAATCAGCTATTCTTTATTTGTTATACTCTTTTTTATTTATTTATAACATATATATATGTCAATTAAAAATAAAAAATATTTATATATAAATTAAAAATATTATCAATAAAAATAATACATAAGCGCTTCCAACCTATGACACTTCTAAATGGTCACACTCCTATGCTCCCGCTTCCGTTTCATGCAACTAAGCTTTCAAGCATCTTGTATGTGTCTAAGTCTTAATACTTATTCTTTAAGAAACAGCTTTATCTTACCTAACCTATTGCAAGAGTCAAGATTCCAGACCATAGTTGCATGAAGTAGGAGTAAGGGCAGGGGACAAGGGGCCTATAGAAGAGTTTAAGGCTGGGAGAGGGAGTGAGGCCCCCATAAAAATTTCTTGCCATGAAGTTCTGGACCATCTTATAGCAGCAAAGTCATAATCACCTTAACACAATGGGTCGCACAAGCTACTATAAAATTACCACAGGTGTTATATTGCGTTGCATTACTCAAGTGCCCAAGTCAAAAGGAAGGGTTTTGGCTCGTAGAAGATTTCGCTGTGCACCATGGGACTTTGGGGGCCTTGGCAATTTGGAAGCTATAGATGGAGACTTCATTCTGAAGCTATGCTATGCTACATGGACTTTGGTATAGGTTTTGGGTGTGGGTGTGGATGTCGGGTGCAGGTCCAAAGGTCAAGTTCATGAAACCTTAAATTTAAGAGTACGCACTCAACAAAAATAGGTCATATTTTTATATTTTTAATCTATTATTATTATGTGAGATAAATGGTATTATTGTATAACATACAATATAAAAAGGCATTTCTACAACATCATATGTATATAATAATAGTGTTAAATATAAATATATAAAAAGTGTTGGATGAAAAGTATCAGACACATCCTACACTCTTGTCCAAGTGTTGGGTTTCTGACATGGGTATTTGATCTGTTTTGAAAAGCCCATGTAATATAGGTGCTATGCCCTAGCAGATATAGCTGCCTTAGGCCAATCTTATTGAGATAAAGATTGTGTTTCTAACAACTTGATATCTTTTTGACAAATCCTAATGGATTCACGGAAAATTTCAAATAATTAATTACAGTCTCATGCTTAACTTTCTATAAATCAAAAGGAATTATTTGTTACATCACAATTTATCAACAAAAAAAAAAAGAAAAAAATAAAATTTATTTGTTACATCACAAGTTTCTTCTACGGCACACTCTTCTAGCTAGATTGGACATAAGCTTTGTACTTTGAGCTATGATACCTTACTGCCCTGCCTTTTCTCATTGTTCTTTGGATTCTTGCTTTTGACGTGTATTACCCCTCTCTGGTGAACCTTTGACTTGCTTCTGATCAATCCCCTCATACTATGCTGTGATAGAGGGACATCTATTTCATGAATATTTCTATAATGTATATAGAATGGCCTCCTTACGTTTTATGAAAATTTATTCTATTTGCCCTCGCTTTTATGAGTATCTAAGAAGCATAAACACTTCTAAGAAGGTGGTGTGTCCGTGTCGGACACTGACACTCGTTGGGCACTTCTCGACCCGTGTCCGACACTCATCAAAACATGTCCTATATTGTAACGCCCTCAAAATTAACCCATTATATATCATTGACATGCATTATTTAAAGAAGACAATTTATTAATTCATTCATCAGAGTATTACTAAATAAAGCATTACATGTAACATCGAATAAAATGCCCTACAGGCTTACATCTTTCCAAGCCAGCACTTGGATTCAAAAATATGAGTTCTAATCTCAATACAAGAAAAGCCCTAGGCTTGAACGTTTACATGTACTAATAATTAAAGACAATTAACTAAAAGTAATCTTCTTCAATCCAGAAGCCAAACCCTCCCAAGCTAAGTCCTTGGAGGTAGTTTATCACCTGAACCTGAAAATGATGTTCCCATAAAGGGTGAGCCACAGCCCAATAGAAATATACTAAACCACATATAAGCAATGAATAAAACAATAGCATTCAACAGATGGTTAACCAAAATAATCAATTACTTCAATTTACAGACTCAAGACATTATTGCCAAAGATACGTTTTACTTTCCAATTTTATCAACATGGCATGTTAATTGGAAGATGGTATGTAATGCAATCCAAATGCAAATCAAAGATCAAATTGAGAGAGAGAAGACAAATGCCCCAATTAGGGGTAAAACCCCTAAGGCTAGAGAGAGAAACCAAGCTCTACTCCAATCACAATGTAGATTCTTTCAATCAAAAACTAACTACAATGGAATATTACATCACCTATTTATAGACTACAACTAATACGAAATTTAACATACACTTAACCTATTTATTCTAATACATCAGTATGCACTCTGAAGAGAGGGGGTTTCAACATCAAGAGTTTGGGTATTTTAATAAAGATTTGTTGGGCAAGTGGCTACAGAGATATGCTTGTGAAAGGGACAAGTTTTGGAGAATGGTGGTAACGGAAAAATATGGTACTTAATGGGAAAATTGGAACTCATTACAGGTGTTGATGTCTCATGGTAGAAGCAAGTGGAAAGGTGTTTGTCCAGTTTGGTAGGAATTTTTTAAATTTCCTAATTTCAAGGTGGGGTGAGGAGATAGGTGAAATTTTGGCAGCACAAGTGATGTGTAGATGATGTTTTGGAAAGAACTTTCATCTTTATCTTCCTATTTATAAGCTTAAGTCGTAAATCATGTTTAGGGGATGAATGGTAATGTTTTTTGAGATGTCAAGCTAAGAAGGATCTGCAAGATTATGTGTTAGATTAGCTTATCAATCTACTCAATTTGTTTTACGGTACAAGGACTATGAGAAGGGCTTGACTCTTTAAGATGAGATGTATCTAAGAGTAGAAGGTTGAATGTGAAATCTTTTTTTATGGGGATATGTTGAGTTGAGGAATAAAAGGATGAATTTATCTCGAAAAGGCTTTTGGACTGTTGGAGCTCCATCTATGGTCACTTTCTTTGTGTGGAATCCAATCCATGCAAAGATTCTTATGATTGGCATCGTAATTAGGAGGCGTCAGAATCAAAGTTACCCAGACCATGGGTCATTCCAGTATAAGGAATGGGGCAAGAACATTGTATGCCTTAAGCTCTAAATAGGGGGTAGGCTTCTATAGTTTAGATCATAATTATTATAACTATTAAGGCATTTTCGCATGTGAGAATTTTTCATTAACAATTAAACACCCAATTGAACATAGTCTATTTCTTTTCAAAATAATTATGTAAAAGCACAATAATTGGAGAATTAGGGTCTCTATTATTATATTGTTCTGGCAAAACTCTGGTCCATGGATTTTATTTCATTATATT